TGCCAGAGGTTGAGGGAGCCATTACTATGTTTGGTGGTCATGGAAATGATGGGTGATGGACTGCTGCTGCCCAGGCCTCCTTCTCGCTCATCACTACTAGAGAGGGTTAGGTTGCTCTTGCTCTTGTTCTTTCCTCCCCGTCTGTTGACAAATATGCAGTTCAGTTCAGATGTGATATATATAATCCACTTCTAATCTAATGTCAACCTTATAAATTCTAAGCCTTCTACTATTAAATATGTAGATATACAGTAGTGGTGCAATATCTAAAAAATCTTGAAAAAACATTTGCTTTATCAAAATACGACATAAAGATACTTTTGTTATTCATCTGGTTTCTTTATCATAAGAATGATTAACAGGTATAATCAAATTAATTAAAATATCAAATAAATCTTTGACAATTTCATAACAGGCCGTAAGATTGGCGATGGATAGTCTTGGTTTTATTCTAATTATTACAAGTAACATTTTTTGGCTTTTTTGGCTAGTAAAAAAAAGATAGAAACTGGATTCAGACTTACAGTTCCTCCTCATGAGCTAGTTCCAATTTCAAAAGCTGCTTGAGGAATGATGGCAATGTGCCATTATAAATGGCTAAGTTTGGTGACATTGTCATGGAATCTCCCAGTGGCAGAGCATTGGGTATCCTGGCACTGAATGACACTTGAGCTTGCCGGAAAGAGCCAGAATGATCATCTAGGAAATCAACAATCCAAACCAAGAGAGATCCATCTACTGGGTGGATTGAAAAGAGGACATCAGATGTCTGATGCCAGTCCCGAAGCAATGTCTCAATCCGTCGGTCAAGGGCATCTCCTAAAGCTGAAGTAGTTGCAGTGGTTACATCTGTTGCAATTGAAGTTGAAGAGGTGGCAGCACTCAGAGGCTGATGTGTGCGGATAGAGGTCGAATGCTGGCTAATTGGTTCATCATCATCGATACTGCGGGTACGCACAGTCATGTGAGATGATGTTCGTGAACCAATACGTATTCCTGTTGTTGCACGAAGTCTTGGATCTTCAAGGTCACTCACTTCTGAATGACGGTCATGATCTAGAGATGCAGACTCTTTCTCCATTGCACGACGGCTAACCTAAATGAAAATAAAAACATTTAACAATAAGTACATTCCTTTACACATCACTCAATTTATATTATCATTTACCAACGTTTTGAATACTGTCAAGCCTACTTGGCATCACTATCCATGGGTTCTATCCTACTGCCCAATCTTGATAGCACACTATATGTTAAATTAGTCCTTCTGGAGTTGGCTACCACTTAAATATTATAGCAGTCCAGGGGAATTTCCTTATATCATTTACAAATTTTGCAGTTTCCCATAATGATACAAGCTGAAGAATCCCTTTCTAATATCTATCTATCCAGTAGTGGTTATTCTGTTCCTCATATTCAAAAGGTTAAGAATGATAGATTAATAAAAAATTCTGTCTTTTAGATATAGAAAAATAAAATCCAATTTCCATAGCCCTAGCAAAAACCCAATCATCATATAAAATACCTCCAAAAGAATGTTCTCTGCCTCAGAAGTGAAATGCATCTCCTTATTGTTGAGCCAATGAATCACAAAGCTCTGTTCTGACTCTCCATTTGTGCTGATGCCACTGATGCTGGGCACCAACGGGATATCAGTTTCTGCATTGATTGAAGCAGCTAGATGGAACTGGAAGCCTGTAGATGAGATGGAATTTGTAAACCATAGTAATTTTTACTCTTCTTGTTTTTAAGATAAAACCAAAATACAACTGATGAAAGAAAAATATTTCAAACTAATAAAGTAATTTTTAGCTAACATCAGTTTTGGAGATAAGAAATCTAATCAAACATGTAAGTAAGCTTTTAGGACTGTCTAATAAATACAGTTATTGGCATTAAATCCAAAGTCAATGACACAATATACTATTACCAAATGAGAAGATCATAAAAACAACAAATGTACCTGGTGTAATGCCTGTGCCATGGATGCCATACATGTGGAAATCGTGAACAGAGTAGGAAGACGGAAGAGTAGGGAGCGGCTCTACTCCCATCCCAGCAAGACTCCCCATTATGTTACCTCCAGTCTTCACATGTCTCCTCATTTGGAAACAGGCTCTGAAGGCACAAAGTTATTTAGAGAAGATCAAAAAGTTTCATATCAGTTTACAACAATCTATCTTTCTGTTTCCTTTTCTGTATGTAATAATTTACCAAATTTTCTATCTGAGTACTCTCGTGCTAAGATGAAGCTACTCATGAATTTTGAAACAGGGATGCTTATCAAGCAAAAATTTCTCTCAACACTTACTTCATGTGCTTTAACCTTTGCATGAACCGGTGCTTGTGGCGATGTGTGCGAAAGCGTGGATTCTGAGCAGCCACTGGATCTAAATGATGAAGGGAAACAAGCCCATCATCTGGCAACACTGTCTCAACCCAAATGCGGCAGATGTTATCACGACAAGAGGTGACCAACATGTTGCTTACACTCCCCCTATGGATTAGAAATTAAAAATTATACTGAGAATAATTCCAGAATAAGAAATAAGAATCTGTTACAAACAAGCCATACACATCTCACACTAACAGTTGGATATAAATATACATATAGCCAGACATGAAAACTTACTTTGGCATATATTTGCTGGTTGATCTCCATGTGAATCCCTTAACAGCACTTGGGTGTGGTAGATAAATATAGCTAAAACTAACCGAGGATCGTGTCAGATCACTGGCAAATGTTGTTCCATCTTGTGGCCGAGCTGGTGCAAGAACTGTAAATGAAACATTGAAGTGTTATTTTATTGTATCTCTAAAAATATTTAATTAAAGATATTCATGCTTTCAGTTTACATGAGGAACAGTAAAAGGGGAACTTCCCACCACAATGCTACTTACTATGCTTGTTGTCATACCAAATCTTGACCAACCGATCATTGGCAGCAGCTGTAGCAAACAGTGTGCCATCCGAGGAAAAAGATAGAAAGACCGTGGGAGCAGCAGTCACACACCTCCAGATGCATGTCCAGGAAGGCTCTTCATCATCTCCCCCATCACATTCTAGATCAAATGTAACTGGCCCTGAACCTGAAAGGATTTGGAATTATACCACCCTATTCAATTTGCAATTTTTGGCTTTTACATATCAACTGCTAATAATTCTTAAATAGTTGTAAAATAAGGAGATCCAACACAACACTAATGGATCACAAGGCAACTTAATAATACATTTACATATGATGTCTTCATCAGCTCATAAAACCTGATACACAAGACATTACAACTTAATAAATGCTGATCATTATATCCTATATGCATTTTCAATTGTGTAACCTGCTTTTTAAAAACAAATTTCAAAATAATGGAACTTATTTTACCATCTTCCCCTCCACCAATTCTTGTTAAAGGGGCAGCCCACATCTGTAAAATATCTCCTGCTGTTAGGAGACGAGTTCCCTCCAAGTTCCATGACATGGTATTTATGTAGCTCTCGGCTTCGATGACTCCTGTCTGAATCCATCGGTAATCTAGTCGCTAAATAAAGGAGACAATTGTTGTGAGAACTTTTCTGACAGTAATATTTGTATCTATGTAACATTTTTCAATAAAACAAACTACCCCAATTGTTGTAAGAAATATATATCAATATGTGTGTGCATGTGTGAGTGTGTGTGTGTGTATGTGTGCATGTGTGTGTGTGTGTGTGTGTATGTGTACATGTGTATGCGCGTTTGTGTGTGCGTGTGTGCATATACTTTGTTTCAATGGCTTCCTGTCATTCCTAAAACATAAATAAATGGTAAAGGAATATATAAATATTAACTGAAAAAGAAGAAAGACTTACATGTGTGTTGTTCTGATTAACAAGTGGAGTGGGTTCAAAAATGCACACCAATTTCCCATAGGCTGCAGCAATTTTCCCGGTGTCAGTGGAGCAGTCGACACATGAGATCTGTACATTATCATGACATACCCCTGGTATCACTTGCACTCGCTCAAAATTACTGGCAAGAATGACAATGTTGCACCCAGCAGCATATGCCTGTAAATATATCAGAAGCATATACATGTGTAATAATATGCACATTACTATGATGATTTATAAGAGAACCAATAAGAAAAAAACACACCTATTAATCTCTTCATAATGTCTATATGAAAAATTAAGAGGGAAAAATATTGATCAAAAAGAAGTAAGCAAGATAATCACAGCATTCACAGAAAAATTAATGGTTAAATCTTACTGTAAAAGGGATCCCCTCCACACTCCCAACAGCAAAGCAGCGGTCACCTGCATTGCAAGCACCGGTCAGGATTTGATGGCACTTCATCCTGACAGTTCTGTTGCAAATGCAGAGCAAAACCCTGTAAAGAGTGCAATGTTTCAAAATACATAAAAAAAAAATACTGCAATGATATTCAATATCTATTATTGTACTTGCAAAATTGATCTTCCCTTTTTTTATTGCATCCTTTTTGGTGTGCTACCTTATAAAAAAAATATATGGATTGATTCTGTAATCTTACACCTGTGAAAAAAGTTTTTTGATCATGAAAATATCATTTCACATAGATAATCAAAATGATAATGCAAGACTTGTACCATCTACAACCCAATTTGACCTCATCCACATATTTGTACCATGCTCCTTGAATGTAGAAGTTTGTCACAGTATTGACTATACATTATGGAAATAAAATAAATTCTATTAAAGTTCCCTAAGCTTTGCCATTGTACCAGTTATTATCCTATATTTTGCATAATTACAGCTCTCCATTAACCTGTTTTATCTGGCTGCAGATTGGCATTTTACTACCATGAGTGGCAACTTTCTTGTGTGTGTGGCTTGTAGACCCAGCCCACACAAACAGTCCTTACCTCCTCTTTATAATCCTATTAGCCTCTCTTCTGCACACACATCTTTGATGTTCTTCCATTTTCTGCAGTCTATATTTATCATTTGATATGCTGTCTATATTTATCATTTGATATGCGGTATCAGGATAATAACAGACTGATTTTGTTAAGCTGACTCCATATTATCTCTTTAGCTAGTTTAAACTGTGTAATAACAGAAACAATAAGTAACATTAAGTTATTTGCTTTATCTTTTATATTTTCTTATCATTCAATTATCTGTAATGCACCCTAAACCACCAGTACTGGGTGGCAGGAATAGGGTTCTGCAGATGGAGATCATATGCATGATTGATGGATGGTAAACTTTACCTTCAATGACCATTGGAAATCCTATAGGAGAGCATGAATGATCCCCTTCCTGAAATCCACTGAGCTAATTTCAATCTAGGTGCATTGTGTACTCCTGATAAGATGTCCCCGTCACCTGACACTAGGCAACAACTTCCCTGACAAAACATTTCCATCATCTTTTTTTCTTTTTTTCTTTTTTTTTATGATGGGAAGTTGTCATCCACCCTTTGGCTATATCTTTTTAAGACAAGATGTCCACATCATCTGGATCCAACTGTTAATATGCTGTTAGCATTAATAATAATTAGAAGTACACTAAAATTCTGCCTCTACTACAGTCAAATTTTACCACTGAATTGCTTTTACAATGCTATATTTTGATGTTGCATCTAAATTTACGGGTTGGTTACACCAAACAAAAATTTGATGACATATGTACTAGTAATTACTATCAAACTTTAAATAAAAGTAAGTTGTTAGTGTGTTTTATTTATTGCCTTGTGTTCTTGAGATTAAGGATTACTTTCTGTGTAAGAAAGCTTTGCTTTAATTGCATTAGTATAGCAAAATTAATTTCATCTTAAATAAGATGACAAATTTTCCTTCATTGTCTGTACACAACTAAAGTGCGTATATCTGCATATATAACAGAATGTTTCATAGTTTCTTCCAAAACATTATGCTAGATTTGCTATTTTTTATTCTAAATTCACCATGCTTGTAATTGAAGTTATTATTTTCTCCTGACTAAAATATAAATTTCACATAAAAACATAATCATATATAAATATATATATATATATATATATATATATATATATATATATATACATATACATATATATATATATATATATATATATCTGTTTCTGCCAAGCCATGCCTAGTGGCATCATAAAAAAACTCTTGGTCTAAGGAGTATGGCTGTACGCCACAGCGACACGCCAGAACAATCTGAGCGGGGTGTTCAGCTTGATGTAGCGAACCCTGTGCTCAAAGTCGACTTATTGCCATTCATCTCCAGAGTGTAGCATTTTTATTTATTTTCTTCAACCTGAAGTGATGGTATATATATATATATATATATATATATATATATATATATATATATATATATATATATATATATTTATATATATTTATATATATGTATATAATAGGAACTAGACTCAAGTACTGTATCTAAATCAAGCTTCTTAGCAGAATCTTCAATGGTAGAGAATAGTTAAAATATTTCATAACATGACTCTTTCAATACATAATTTTGATATGCTTGGTCTAATCACATTATAACACTACCTATAGGTAACATCAATATAAATATAACAGTAACATGAAGGTATATGTACAGGAAACACCTTTACAACTGGACAAACACTTTGGCAAGATAGAGATTTTACATCTTTCTGAAAATTACAGTATTGGCAAATAAGGGGCAAGTCCAATCTCCACTTTGCTAGAACATAGATGATTTCCTAGCATGCAAAGAGCAGAGATAAAAGTAATCACTTGTTCATTATTAAATTAGGCTTCAGAATGAAGCCCATTCACCATAAATCAAAGCTTGTTTAATGAGAATCTAGATAGAATATAGCCAAACACAAAAAAATATTGAAAGGCTCTATGGATGTCTCCCAGAATTTTACCTTAGTGAAACTGGGATTTTAAGGGACTAAAACCAAATTACTATAATTTGAAACAAACTAACAATTCCAAAGCAGAAAGCTGGTAAACTTGATATAGTCTTTCCCTCAGGAAAAATCTAGATTCTATCCATTGCTTATTCTATACATATCAAGTAACATATGGTAATTAGGCACAAGATGCAATACAAATGAATAACAATGTCATTCTCATTACTTTTTTTTTGTAAAGGTATACCTATCCCTATGACCATTAAAATAAACATCAAACACGCCTCTTCCTCAACCGTGCTGGTCACTATCTCCACAGAAGACAGACAGGCCAAGACTGCACCACTCCTGATAAATCGAGAGCAACAGCAGCGTCATGTGACAGTGTCATGATCTCTGGCATAACGAGCGATCCCTGCAGCCTGGCTAAGGGACCCACCCTCTTCGCTCTACCAAGCCAAGCTAATAATTGTCTTATTTCATACTTTCGGCAAACCTTCCATCTTTGTACCACACCAGTAAACTTGTAAAATGTTTAAAATTGCACCTACGACTGACCTTAGTTAAAAGAAATGGCCATGACTGCCTCCCGAGCTCTGAGTTCTTCAGGTCGATGTTTTCGTCTGTCAAGGAAGGTGTTCGTTTGGCCTCGCTTGGCTTCGGGGACTAAACTGCCTCCTCATTTCCAAATGTTATCATTGACGGCTTTATTGAGAAGTTGGATTTATATCTCTGATACTAATGAGATAATAACGATTGTACTCATGCTGTAATTTATGTACTCAGAAATGTCTACATTAATTTGAGAGATCGAAGTTATATTTCGTGATTACGAACAATATCTACTGTCACAAGCAAGAACAGAGCCATCTATTGCACAGTGGCAGAACTAGCGTTGTCATGGTAACCTACTCAGGGCTCTGCCGGATTTTGTATATTGCAAAAAAGGGAAATGAATATTATGGTTTATGACAATTCCATTTCTCTTATATATATAATTCTTATATTTCTAAGTGGTTGGAACAGAACATTATACCTAAACCGGGTCGTTGGGAATAAAGTATATATATATATATACATATATATATATATATATATATATATATATATATATATATATACATATATATATATATATATATATATATATATATATATATATATATATATATATATATGTGTGTGTGTGTGTGTGTATGTGTGTGTGTGTGTGTGTGTGTGTGTGTGTGTGTGTGTGTGTGTATGAACATATATATATATATATATATATATATATATATATATATATATATATACATATATATAAACACACACACACACACACACGCACACACAAACGCACACACACACGCACACACAAACACACGCACACACACACACACACACACACACACACACACACACACACACACACACACACACACACACACACACACACACACATATATATATATATCCACGCGTGCTCGGTTAATGTTGATTCGGACACGCTACTTAAGATGACCCGTCATCAATCTAGGAAGGTCACTTGCTTGGCATCTGGTATTATTACAAAGCTGATCTATACAGTGTCGTTGCGGTTCTGCCCACACGCCGCTGATGGTGTTGGGGTCCCAAGAAAGTAATTCGCTTACAAGTTCTTGTTTGGCTTTACAGCAGTGTTCAATAAAATGACATTTTCTTAGAATTCCTGATATGGGGGGGGGCATATAATTGAGTTTTGGTAGGATGGCAAGTAAAATATTGTTCATGATAGACAGTTTTCATTGGAGCTCATATGGTGTGTTTTGGTGGCGTTTACGTGAAGGCCAGAATTCCTAGCAGACTTATTGCATTCGTCAGCGATAAGGGCAAGGTCATCAACAAAGTCGACATCTGTTAGGGGTAGCAGGACGTCTACTGGATTTTATTTTGTTTAAAGTGAAATCGAGAGAGTTAATTGTAGCAAGTGAATTTCTCAGGACATAATCAAATATGAATATAAACAGGTAGGGAGCAAGGGTGTCTCCTTGTAATACGCCAGCTACAATGTCAAGGAACCATTATTTTTGTTTCTGCACATTATAGCCGAGGCAGTTTCATACATGCAGAAGTTTCTCCATCTTGCTTCTATGAATAGAGCAAAGGCTTTGGAGAAAGCTACTATTGGGACATTTTTGGCCTTTATATTCTCCAAAACACTAAACAGTACTCTGTTGTTGACGATTTCTTAAGACAGGTCAAACACCATTACTCATGTCAAGTTCGCCTGATAAGTCAATGAGGGGCGAAGCATCGTATCAACAAATGTTTAGGGCTGACCGCCTCGTGGAGTACATCTGGGTGACATTTTCCTGGGTTACTCTATTTCACTTGTTTCCACAGAGACTCCTTGGCGTCCTTATATATTTCTAACATTTCTCAATGGTTACACATACTTCTTCAACAATTTCCCATTTTTGCAAGAGGTTTTCTTTCTACTGATCTTTGCACTTCAGCAGGAGTAAACTGAAGCTCGCACTTTTATTTTCCTTTCCTTTCCCTTAATTTTTATCTTACAATCTACACTTTGTTCCTTTTCACGGCCACTAATATTGTTTTTCACCGTGTCTTTTTTTTTTTTTTGGGGGGGGGGGCTGTTACAGCCTTCTCTCCCTTCTGTTCTTCGGATTCTCTGTCCGTAACTTGTGCCAGTTTTCTTTTTCGATTACGTCCATTCTCTGCATCAGCGTCTGTAGCATCCGGGAAATTGCTGATAATTCCTTCACAGAAAAATCTGCATCACTACTCCGCGGCACTTCCTTCACTGCCTGCAGCTGTCGTTCGTCCTGAGATTGGTGGTTCTCCTTTGGCGACGGCGGCACACGGGGTGGACCCTGCAACCAGGCGTATCTGCCTTAATTTTCTGCGATTCCTTGCTGGGGAACCGCCCAAATAATCTTTGATTGGCTGTTATAGATGGACTAGAATTAGTTGCATTGATACTTTTTATTTAAAGTTTATTAATTCATTATTTCGTTATTTATATACATATTTTTTTCATATCGTGTTTTCTTTTGACTCGAACATTTGAATTTGGTATGGGTACCAGGTAATACCCTAGACTTTAAATGGCTCGGCAGATTCTGGGGTCATACTTCCTACCGCAGAACCTGCATCGAACATTCTGCTGACATGTTCATGGATTATGGCCCCATCTGCAGCACTTGAAGCACAAGACTGGAGGCTCCACATACGATGCTACCCTCCTATGCCCGCTCCAGAGATAAATACCCTTTCTGGCACTTTCCCTTTCAGGAGGACAACGAGCTGCCTCTGCTCCTCGCCCCTGGACGCGTGCCTCTTCACCCACACAAATCTGTCATCGTCCAACAGAAATTCTGGATCCAGTATGGTCGGATATCGGGAAATTATCCCTTTAGTGAGTTTTCCCCAGCCATTGGGACAGTCATCACTGTCCCCTTGTATCCCTGAGTCGTCAGGGTCTGGTCCGCCTCGCCTGCCGTACCATGAGATACGAGCTGCCTCTGCCTTCCTTCAGCAGTGGCTCGAAATCACGGCGGTCCCGGTCCAGTTCCATGGCCCACCTCAATTTCTCAATGAAACTCATGGCGCAGTCCTGCGGGAATAGCAATGGCTTCCTGCCATTCACATCGACAACATGCTGATTCCCTGCCTCGGTTCCCTAATCGTTCCTCTTCCCCTTCTCCCGTTCGCATCCATTCTCATCCACACTTCCTTCTATGCACTTGTCGAGAAAGAGAGAGAGTGAGAGTATATATACATACACGCATTTATATATATATATATATATATATATATATATATATATATATATATATATATATATATATATATATATACATACATACGCACAGACACACACACACACACACACACACACACACACATATATATATATATATATATATATATATATATATATATATATATATATATATGTGTGTGTGTGTGTGTGTGTGTGTGTGTGTGTGTGTGTGTGTGTGTGTGTGTGTGTGTATTTACAAATATGCATATATATATATTATAATATTTGTGTCTGTCTATAAGAATGGCAACGGAATTTTACTCCAAATGCCCAAACATCTTAAACTTCTATTGGAATAGAGAGCTTCGGTCAAGCATTAATCAAACATGCAAGGAGAGCGTGCATGTATAGTACTTATCTTATAGGCCTTATCTGATCAGCAAAGAGAACTTTTATAGTATTAATCATATCAGTGATAAAGACAGTGATTATATTAAAACGAATATACTATACAAGTGATATCCTGTGACAGGGTATTTCGAATAAGGATTTTGATTAATAATTTACTTCCTTCCGTGGATATTCCCTACTTTTTGGTATTAGTATCATCATTATTTCGGAGAATAGTCCTTAGAAAGGCCAATTAAAAATTCCTTTAAATTTTGCTACCGCAGCTTCAGAGAAGTTCTCGCTTGATTGTGTTTCTTATACCACTTCCGTCAGCTGTTGCACTGATAGCGGGACAGGGGTGCCTCTCCGGAAGTGCGAGGGTGTTCGTGGTACATTTCCATGTTACCGTAATAACTGAACAAGGTCGCTTGGTGATGGCTGGGGCAAAGCAGTGGACTTTTTCTCGTGTATGGCTCCGTTCACTGTATTGTCAGATGTTGAATATCAAACATCTATTGTGGTGTTTTTAACTGCTAATACTGAAATTTTTACCCTTGTCTGTAAACTGTAGACCGGAAACATGTAAAGCGCATTGCTCTATAGATGTAGCATTCACCATTGTATAATTATTAGCATTATATATGATATTAATCTTACCATATTAATGTAACAGTTTCCTTAACTTCCATGTGACTAATACTGGTACCACAGGTACACATCTAGTACTACGAGCTACGTAAGCAATACCTATCCGTTCCTGGAAAGCCTGCTTGCTATATATATATATATATATATATATATATATATATATATATATATATATATATATATATATATATATATATATATATATGTGTGTGTGTGTGTATATATATATATATATATATATATATATATATATATATATATATATATATATATATATATATATATATATATATATTAATTTCCATGGAGATTCTATGAAGATCAACTGTTAAAACTCGAAAATCATCTTGAATACATGAATCATAAGCAGATGAAAATCATATAAAAAGAAGAAAGAAAAGTTAATTAATGGGTTTATTTGCAATGTAATTAGCTTTATTAAGTCTGATAACCCGAATGAGGATACAGGTGCAAATACTTTTTTCACACATTTCTAGATTATATTTCAATGATTATCTAACTAGTTAGCTATCTATTTGAATAAGGTACCAAGAGGAGTTTGAATGGGTAATTACCATACAACATGCAAACGTATTTTGACAATAGGCCAGTCTCTTTTGGAAGGACACTCATTATCTTATTTATTTTTATAAGCATCCAAATTCATAGTTACTATGATTACCCCGCGGGAAAACAAATTCAGAACATCACTCCGCAGACAGATGCTAAAGGAATGTGCCTGCGTGTGAATCCACACTAGGCATCGAGCAGTCTCGAACGTGGGCCTCTTGGGATTCCAGGCTACACATTTAGTCTCCTCCATTGCGACGCTCTTTACATACAAAAAGATTAACGATGAATTTAG